GTGTGTGTGTGTGTGTGTGTGTGTGTGTGTGGTGACATGTTGTTTACATACTGTACATACAGTATGTGCTTTTTGAGACCTGTTTTGCAACACCTCCCACTTGTGCAACTCATGTGCTTTACAGTATGTGCTTTACATTGTCAAGAGCAGCAACACCGGGCCGTTACATAATGTACAGATGTGACAGCATGTAGTCTCTGGTAGGTGTCAGCCTCGTATGTGCAAACAGTGAAAAGCTCTGACAGGTTGGCTCGTCGGCGCTTTAATTATTCACTGTTAGTGATGTGCCAACTAATTCCACTGGGACAAAGTTCACCATCATAATTCATACACTGATTTCCCACGAATTTCTTGTTACACGTTGCTTGCAGAGAAAAAAAATGGAAGACAGATCTGCAGATGAAGCTCAGCCTATAGGTGAAAGAAGCGATTTCGCCCTGTTGCCCTACAGATATCTTTGTGAGGACCATTTTGTGCCTACATCCCACAGAGTGAGGACATTTTGGCCGCTCATGTGTGTTTTTGTGTGTGTGCATGTGTCACAGTTGTGGGAGAGAAGTCTTTCTGTTTTTATCATTTCATGAATCCAACAAGTAGTGTTTGTGTGTGTTTGACACTTCTGCATGTAGTGTCTAGAGCAATGATATCTTGCATCCTGTTAGTCAGTTCCCCCTTTCAAACACAAATCGCAACCCCTTCACACACACACACACACACACACATACACRCACACACACACACATAGGCCACTGTGTAAAATGGAATTTCCAAACTTCCCGGAACGTCTTGGATGAAATTCTGCATTTTTATTTCTCATTCCCCTCAAAATCCACATAGCTCTTTTCTGATTGCTCCCTGAAGGACTCAGGCTTTTGCACATAATACACACGGACGCGTGCTCACACACACACACACACACACACACACACACACACACACACACACAGCATTTTAAATATGCTTTTTCAGCCAGAGGTCCCTACATTAGTCATTTGTCCATAACTGCACAGGAATGTGTGCCGAGTGTTGTCATCTGATGATGGAAACACACATGTTGATTCATGTTTTTTCAGTCACTGATGTGGCATTTGCTGCAACTAAATGTAATTATAATAAAGAAACTATTTTGGGTTTATGAACATATAGAAAATAGGTCACTTTCTCTCTCTTTGTTCTGTGTGTGTGTGATATCTGCCCATCAGCAAGGGTCAATGTGAGTTCTGGGCTCACCGACACCAGCTGAGTTTCTAGTTGAGGAAACCCAGAGGGAAAAGAAAATCTGGGTTTCCTCCCTGCTGCTAAAATAATTCCCCCATAATTATAATGATGGAGCTTTAGGTGAATGAAGAACACTCGAGGCCCTTCACTCCTGTCCTGCTCTCCCCCCTCCTTCTCCTGACTGCATCCTCACCCTGCTTTCTCAGCAACCTTCAGCTGAGGACCCACACACACGGCCGTGCACAAACGCACACATATAAACACCAAACCTGTAGCCCATACAAAGCAGGTCTTTATTCTCTCGGACGCGTCTCTGCTCTCTATGTTTTTGCACCTGTGTGCATGTGTGTGTGTGTGTGTGAGTGCACGCTGGTATTTCCTCTCTTGAGCGGGTTACCAACCACAAACATACCTCCCTCTCTCCATCCATTTTTCTCTTCCTCTCTCTCACTGTACTTCTTTTTCCTTCTATCCGCTGTGGACCATGAAAGACAAGCACAACCTTTCCTCCAGATCCCAGCCCTACCTCGCAAAAACATCCACACATATAGCAGTACATACACAGTCGTTTATTGTAGTAATTCCCTATTTATAGATTTCTGTTCTGCTCAATTTGCACAGATTGAAAAGATTTGAGTTGTCAGGAGGCAGAGGTGTGCCCTTCGGTACTATGGATATTTCTCTGGAACTCTGGAACTGTTTACTCAAATTTTATTTCTGCCTCTTATATTTTTGCACAGTAGGCGATATTGCACAAATATCAGTATAGATAAGATGATCTTCTATTAGTCCCACAATGGGGACATTTGCAAGTAAAAGTACTTGCTGTGAGTATCTATACAAAGGTCTACCACATCACTATGGTGTCGGTGGTGTCTCTTTCGCGGTGAGTTCTGCTGCTGCACGAGGCGGAGTCTAATGTTACCTGTACGCTCTGATTGGATCATGGCAACAATCCCCCCCTAATTGAATGCTTAAAATAAAATGAACACATGTAACACAATGCATTGTAAAAAAAAAAATCTGACTGTGAATGACATGACATCATGTAGAAAAAAAGAGTTATTTGGTGTGTGTGTGTGTGTGTGTGTGTGTGTGTGTGTGTGTGTGTGTTTGTCCCTGTCGTCTCTGCGTAGTATATCAGCATTTGGTTGCCCACATACACCTCTTCATCACCCACCCCTCTCTCCCTCACCCTGCCTGACCCCCTGGATGAGATGGGATTCAGTGCCAGTGAGCACTGCTCTGATACCACAATCAGTAAACACTTGTGCAGCTCACTACTCATAAAATCAATATCGTCTGATACAGACAGCCCCTATACTGACACTTGTTACCTGACAACCTTGTATAACAACCTGCTTGCTTCAACCTGAAAATCTTTTGTGTATCTCGTCCTCCTTCTTCTCCTCCTCTTGTTCCCTTCTCCTCCACGCTTGAGTCTCTCACCTGAAGGTGCAGTGCAGACTAGTGTTGGTGCTTAAACACCATGCCAGTGCGCACTGGAGCAGAAAAGACACACCGACATACACGCACAGACACACACAGAACTCCTGACACCGGGCTGTTGTCAGAACACAAAGCCGTCTTTTCCTCAGCCCCTCGGGAACCTGGGAGAAATCACAGCCATCTCCAGCCGTCAGAGCCCTCCACCGGCCTTTCTTCGTCTTCTGTCTCTTTTGCTCTCTCTCTCTCTCTCTCTCCCAGTGTCTCCATCTTTCGCTCACTCTTTTTCCATCTCTGTCATTCTCTTCATCAATTTTTTGTTTGTCATAGATAGACAGATATAGATATATAGATATATAAATAGATATATAGATGGATAGATAGATAGATGGATAGATAAAGGCAGATTGAGGTAGATGGTCTGTGGCCATAATGGGGTTGAGGGAGTGCGTGAGCAGATGGAGTGAGCTGAGGAGATGGAACATATAGCCAGAGGGAATGTAGGTAAAAGGAGGGGTAAAGAGGCAGCATATTGGGGGAGGAGGGCATTGGAGGGCTAGAGAGGAGGAATAGGGGGGTGAGGGAGGTGTGTAACGCTGAGACGTGTCAGAAAAGGGCGCCTGGGCCTCCCTGTGGAATGTGGCCTGTCTGCCTCCCCAGAAAGAACAGAGCAGGAGAGAGGGAAGAGAGGGAGAGAAGAAAGGGAAGAGGGGGCGAAGACCAGTTCTGCCCCATCATCGAGGGGAGAGAGCAGGGAGGGAGGGGAAGGAGGGAGCAGTGGGAAAACAAAGAGTGGAGTTAAAGGGGGGAGAGGAAGGAGAGGTGGAAAAGTGAGAGTGCAGCAAGAGAGAGAGAGAGAGTGTATGGCACTTTGTAGAGGTGCCGGGCACGGCTGTAGACATGAAATGATGCATAGCAGAAGAGAAATGTAAGCAGGATAAATCCTAACAAACCTCAAAGTGTGTGTGT